TGAGTGTGGGAGATAGGGGAGGTGTGAGACATTGAGTGTGGGAGATAGGGGAGGTGTGAGACATTGAGTGTGGGTGTGGGAGATAGGGGAGGTGTGAGACATTGAGTGTGGGAGATAGGGGAGGTGTGAGACATTGAGTGTGGGTGTGGGAGATAGGGGAGGTGTGAGACATTGAGTGTGGGAGATAGGGGAGGTGTGAGACATTGAGTGTAGGTGTGGGAGATAGGGGAGGTGTGAGACATTGAGTGTGGGAGATAGGGGAGGTGTGAGACATTGAGTGTGGGTGTGGGAGATAGGGGAGGTGTGAGACATTGAGTGTGGGAGATAGGGGAGGTGTGAGACATTGAGTGTGAGAGATAGGGGAGGTGTGAGACATGGAGTGTGGGAGATAGGGGAGGTGTGAGACATTGAGTGTGGGAGATAGGGGAGGTGTGAGACATTGAGTGTGGGAGCTAGGGGAGGTGTGAGACATTGAGTGTGGGAGATAGGGGAGGTGTGAGACATTGAGTGTGGGAGATAGGGGAGGTGTGAGACATTGAGTGTGGGAGATAGGGGAGGTGTGAGACATTGAGTGTGGGAGATAGGGGAGGTGTGAGACATTGAGTGTGGGAGATAGAGGAGGTGTGAGAAATTGAGTGTGGGTGTGGGAGATAGGGGAGGTGTGAGACATTGAGTGTGGGAGATAGGGGAGGTGTGAGACATTGAGTGTAGGTGTGGGAGATAGGGGAGGTGTGAGACATTGAGTGTGGGAGATAGGGGAGGTGTGAGACATTGAGTGTGGGTGTGGGAGATAGGGGAGGTGTGAGACATTGAGTGTGGGAGATAGGGGAGGTGTGAGACATTGAGTGTGAGAGATAGGGGAGGTGTGAGACATGGAGTGTGGGAGATAGGGGAGGTGTGAGACATTGAGTGTGGGAGATAGGGGAGGTGTGAGACATTGAGTGTGGGAGATAGGGGAGGTGTGAGACATTGAGTGTGGGAGATAGGGGAGGTGTGAGACATTGAGTGTGGGAGATAGGGGAGGTGTGAGACATTGAGTGTGGGAGATAGGGGAGGTGTGAGACATTGAGTGTGGGTGTGGGAGATAGGGGAGGTGTGAGACATTGAGTGTGGGAGATAGGGGAGGTGTGAGACATTGAGTGTGGGTGTGGGAGATAGGGGAGGTGTGAGACATTGAGTGTGGGAGATAGGGGAGGTGTGAGACATTGAGTGTAGGTGTGGGAGATAGGGGAGGTGTGAGACATTGAGTGTGGGAGATAGGGGAGGTGTGAGACATTGAGTGTGGGTGTGGGAGATAGGGGAGGTGTGAGACATTGAGTGTGGGAGATAGGGGAGGTGTGAGACATTGAGTGTGAGAGATAGGGGAGGTGTGAGACATGGAGTGTGGGAGATAGGGGAGGTGTGAGACATTGAGTGTGGGAGATAGGGGAGGTGTGAGACATTGAGTGTGGGAGATAGGGGAGGTGTGAGACATTGAGTGTGGGAGATAGGGGAGGTGTGAGACATTGAGTGTGGGAGATAGGGGAGGTGTGAGACATTGAGTGTGGGAGATAGGGGAGGTGTGAGACATTGAGTGTGGGAGATAGGGGAGGTGTGAGACATTGAGTGTGGGAGATAGGGGAGGTGTGAGACATTGAGTGTGGGAGATAGGGGAGGTGTGAGACATTGAGTGTGGATGTGTGGGAGATAGGGGACGTGTGAGACATTGAGTGTGGGAGATAGGGGAGGTGTGAGACATTGAGTGTGGGTGTGTGGGAGATAGGGGAGGTGTGAGACATTGAGTGTGGGAGATAGGGGAGGTGTGAGACATTGAGTGTGGGAGATAAGTGAGGTGTGAGACATTGAGTGTGGGGTGCAATAGGGGTGTAGGGGTGCTATGTTGAGTTATTATCGGTGAGTGGGGTGGGGGTGCTAGACAGAACTAGACAAGAGAGGTGTAGGGTGCTATAGTGAGTCTGTGGGTGAGTGAGATGGGATGTAGAGGGGCTATATTGAGTGATTGTCGGTGTGAGAGGGGTTGATAAAAAATTGGTGAGAAGGGGTGGGATGTGTGAATGAGGTCTAGAATGCTACATTGAGTGTGTGGATGAGTGAGAGAGGGGTAGTGTTGTGCTACATTGAATAAATTGCCAAGAGAAACATTTCTATGCACAACGCCCCTCGACGCCATAATAAAAACAAGAATGTAATTTTCATTACATCAAGAATTACACTGGATATATTGTCAATAGGTGGCGCCCAGATAGCATCGCACGTGACACATGACAACAAGCACATGGTGAGCAGCGCCCGTGTGTCAGTGTCAGCTCCCGTGGGGGGCACGGGCGGGGGTGGGGGGAGGGGGTGGTTCATCTACTCACGTATACAACAACCCCGTGCACATGTCACTCGTTACACCACACTCTCGTGTCCCGCTGTGCAAAAGTGTCATTGGCTGGTAAGTACTCACGTTCACACAGACCCGGTGTGCATGCGCGTGATGGTTCCTCTGGGATTAGCTGGATGGGAATATTCCAGAGCTCCGGGCGCTGCAGGGATGGACCAGATACACCCCCACCCCCCTACTCGTCCCCCGGGATCATCCCAACCTTTTTCTTGACAACCGGATGTTCTTCCGGAGCCATTGATTGGGTGTTTATGTAGATGGACTAAGTGATATCTAAAATAAACATAAATTTGACAACACAGCTCTCAAATAAAAACAATTACATTACTACGGTAGATGGACCACAATATAATTAGATTACACACACACACACACACACACACACACACACTCTTAGGAAACAGGATAATAACAATTCATTTTTTTCCATTCGGGTAAGGCCTTCCGGATAACTTTTTGAATGTGTAAGACAATGGGGTGGGGGTTGAATGGGGCAAAAAAAACAACTAAACTAGAGTGATGTTAATTACAGATGATCCTTAACATTAAAAACAGTCGTATGAATGCAAGCAGCCAGGCCTTACCCGAATGGACAAAAATGAAGTTGAGAAATTTAAGTTTTATGCTGTTATTTTTTAACAATAATACACACGTTGCTAACTGTCTCCAAAATCAAGGCCACACACCCCCTCCCACCGTACATTAAGCGGGCGTGACGTCATTCAAGGATGATTCCCCCCCCCCCCACTAGAGAAACACACAACTTCCTCCCCGTGTATGAACAATGATGAGCAAGTGCTATAGAGTTGACAATGGTGCCAGAAACCGTGAATGGACATCACGGTGCTAACCCACTACACCACACCCGAAGAGATGATAAAAGAAACGTGTGTTGAACATTATTACTCAGCTTTTGGTGGATTAGGGCCAGGACGCAATTTACACGATCTAGCTACAGAGCTGTACTCAACTTTACAACATATGACAAAACTAACACGATCAAGCTACACAACTATGTTAATGGATGGCTGCGTTTATTGAAAATATCGGGTGGCCAGAAAAGTTTGCCAACACGGTGGAAATAAGCCAAGCAATCCCATTTTCCTAGGTATCTGACGGGAGTGGGTATCTGTCGGGAGTGGGTATCTGACGGGAGTGGGTATCTGACGGGAGTGGGTATCTGTCGGGAGTGGGTATCTGACGGGAGTGGGTATCTGACGGGAGTGGGTATCTGACGGGAGTGGGTATCTGTCTAGTAAGTCGGGAGTGGGTATCAGTCGGGGTGGGTATCTGACGGGAGTAGGTATCTAGTAAGTCGGGAGTGGGTGTCTTGTAAGTCGAGAGTGGGTACCTATCTAGTAAGTTGGGAGTGGGTATCTAGTAAGTCGGGAGTGGGTATCTGTCGGGAGTGGGTATCTGTCGGGAGTGGCTATCTAGTAAATTGGGAGTGGGTATCTATCTATTAAGTCGGGAGTGGGTATCCAGTAAGTCGGGAGTGGGTATCTAGTAAGTCGGGAGTGGGTATCTAGTTAGTCGGTAGAAGGTAGGACAAGCCTAACAAAACCCAGTACATATTATTACAACCAGACAGGTACTTGATTAGTACACCTAGTGAAAATAAAACATAGGTAAGATTTGTACGTAAATAACACCCCACACACCCCACACCTGAGGGGAGGGGAGTTAACATTTTTGCTACGTCATGCTACGTGGGGGGAGGGTTGAGAAAAGTGGCGTTACTTTTGTTTCCGTTTTCTACTAATATATTTTAAAACAAAAATAATAATGGGATAATGTTAGCTGTTGTTAGAATTAGGGTCAGCTGGGACGAGATGAGGAGGGGGCAGTGTTTCTTCCAGACTTTTTTCTCCTGGGGGGGGGGGGGGGCATTTGAAATTTTTGGGGGGACGGGACAGACTAGAATTTCCGGGGGGGGGGGGGGGGCGGACACTATTAAAAGTATATATTTTCTATATAAATTCCATTTCGTTCGGGGGGTTGGGGCGGTAGACTTTCTCGGGGGGGGGGGGGGGGGAGATACCTTTTCTCATACTAGGGAAAGTAAAGGCGGCTGGGCAAAGTGTTAATCACACCTTCCCTTCATAAGCCGAGGTCAAGAAACATATGAACTCATCTTAATCTGCTCCATGGATTGCTAGATCTAAAGAGGATTCTTAATATATGTTTATTTTAACATAGCGAAAAAGTGCCTCCACCTCCAAAAACTGGAAAGGTCGGTGGCGCTTTTCACAACAGAAAACGACATATTCTTCTATACTACTTTCTAGTTGAAACTAACCCGTCCAAAGTATAACAGATCTTTTATTATTTTTTTTTTGACCTTTGCGGTTGTAAGATAAACACACAGATGTGAGCGGTATTGAAAATTTTACAACAAAAAGTCCAACAGGAAGTTAGGCACGTTTCTGTCAATCTAATTTAAGATCAAACTTTTTTTTAGGTCTTATTGGGAAGGTAAACTCAAGTTAGCTTACAAGCGGTCAATTTTCATGCTTGTAAAACACACTGAAGCTCTAGCTATCTTTTTAAACAGTTTTGTTGTTTTATTTAAATTTAAGACAATAAAGAAATACCAACAAAAACACGTACTTACCATATTTGTACTTGAGATATCAAATCTAAAACACACGAGTTTTATTTTTTTTTAATCCGTTTCAGTCAGAAAAAACAAACATCTAAAAACTTGAACTAAGATGTAGCGAGTTGACACAACATTAGGTCATCAAACACGACAGGTGTCGTCGATGCTGACCTACATACGTGTTCCCCTCATCAACCCCCCTCCGCACGAGACACGTTACGTCACCTTGACTGCACGAAGCTGGGCAGACGATAGCGCCGTCCGTTTTATTCGGGTTCCCGCCGCAGCCGTGGAGGAAGCTGATCGTCTGCTGTTGTTCTCGCGGCAACGTTCATTACCCCGCTGTTTGTTTTCTCGGCGAAATTTCTGGAACATATACCCGGCATTAGGTAATCTCTACACCGCCCCCACCCCTACCCTAACCAGGACAAAAAAAAACGTAAACTGCTAAATGATGTGGACGTTGATTAAAAACCAAATTTCAGAATTTGGCTCGCCAAGGGGAAATAAGCATGTCGACAACATATAGTAGACCTATAAATATCAAGTGGTTTCATTTTTAAAGTTCTTGTACAGAAACGATATATGTTTCAGACTTATGTCTATGTCTATTTATTAAGCTAATATTACAAAGTCCCCTCCTGTGTTAGATTAATGAAATTGCATTTTATTTTCGACTAGAAACTAATATTAAACAGAATAGCATTACTTTAACGCGAAATATATAAGTTTAACAAAGCACATGACTTAGCATTCCAGCAACTGCAGCCAAATCCTAACCATTACAATTAAACGTTAAATGGTGGTGAGACAAAAATAGAAAAACGAGAACATGAGCTGGCTTTTACCTCACATTTCCATAGTTTGTTGAAGCCTTGCCATAGTTTAGTACTAGCAGTAATGAATCTACCTTCTTCTAATCATAGCGTGACGAAGATCTTCACTAGTGATTACAACGGCATTGAATAGACACTAGAGATAATTTTGTTTAACAATTTTATGTTTCAATACAAAAGAGTCTCGTAAGTAAAACATTAGTAACTATAGTAACACGCATTAGAAACACACTTGTTAATTGCGCAGTTCGTCTTGATTAGCAACGGCTGAAAATAAAACAGGGGATAGGAGCTGAAAGATTGGTCTGTGGTCGATTTGTTTTATCTTCTGCGCCGTGCAGTTAATTCTGCGAGCGGGGATGTCATGACTAGCAAAAAAAAAAAGCCCGTCCCAAAGCTACGAGCATCGGAATAAATTTATTGCGTTTTTTTTAAAACGATGTTTATGGCAATTAGACAACTTTTTACCCCCGAGTGTAACAGAGCGGTTTGTGTTCTAGGGTGGCCTCGGGAGAGATCGTCTGGAAAACTCATATCGTTTGGATTTTAAGAGAGGTGGTTGTTCTATATAGGTGGGGAAAGGGTCTTGAAACACACATTCTTGTGTTGTACTGTGGTGGTGGAGATGGTGTGTGTGTGGGGGGGGGGGGGGAGGAGGGAGATGTCTATAAAACGCACCACATCAACTAAAATAAAATAAAAAATTCCCAAAATGCAATGCAGCGTTCCACTTAAAGCTGTTGTTTTTCCGAACACATGACCCCCTTGCAGCAACGGAGCGGAGCATAGAGTGCAGACTGGTGCATTTAGTGCACATTGCTGTATAGAGTACACACTACTGTATAGAGTGCACATTGCTATATAGAGCGTACTGGTGCAGTTTATGGAACCAACAGCACACAGCTTGCAGTAAAACAATTTACCTTGAAAAGGTAAAAGACGTGTTGGGGAACAGGTAAATAATAAATATTTCATTAGCTGATTGATGATTACTTATCAGGTTTAATCACACCACAATTACGTAATAGGTATTGACACCAACTTTCAACGTCGAGACTGGCTCATATATATATATATATATATATATATATATATATATATATATATATATATATATATATATATATATATATATATATATATATATATATATAACCAATAACCGGGTGTAACCACCACACAAAACGAATCAATATCCGGGTGTAACCACCACACAAAACGAGCCAATAACCGGGTGTAACCACCACACAAAACGAGCCAATAACCGGGTGTAACCACCACACAAAACGAATCAATATCCGGGTGTAACCACCACACAAAACGAGCCAATAACTGGGTGTAACCACCACACAAAACGAGCCAATAACCGGGTATAACCACCACACAAAACGAGTCAATAACCGGGTTTAACCACCACACAAAACGAATCAATATCCGGGTGTAACCACCACACAAAACGAGCCAATAACTGGGTGTAACCAGCACACATAACGAGCCAATAACCGGGTGTAAACGAGCCATTAACCGGGTGTAACCACCACACCAAATGAGCCAGTGTGCGAGCGGTACACCTGATGTATCCACCTGTTATTTAATCAAACAATCTTTTAGTACCGACGTTAGTGGCATCATGCTGATGGACTTGTCTGGGAACTGGGGATAGAACTTTCTCTGGATAATCCGCAGGAACAATTATTCGGCATTCATTCCAGTCATATTTACATATTTTATATACAGAATTTACTGTCAAGATTAAGTGAGGTTATATAATTTAGAAATATAATTCACTGGCATAATTTACTGTTAAAATTAATTCTCTTAATATAATTTACTTTTATAATTTTATTTAGTGTCATAATTAAATTTACTTTCAAAATTGACTGTCATAATTGTATTAGTATTAATCGTATTTTGTGGCGTATTGTACTGTCATAATTGACTGTCATAACTAACTGTCATAAGTTATTGTCAACATATTTGGCATTATCTACTAGCACACTCCATTGACATTCTTATCTTGCATTACTGGAACTGTCATCCACCAACACCCCCCCCCCTCGCCCCAAGTAAAGGCAGTAAAAAAAACCGTGTAGGCCTACACTTGCTGTCATTTCGAGAGCCTCAGGGCTTATGCGCATGACCATGTTGCACGCGGAGATTGGCGCTTAATAGGTTATCACGGCAGTGATTGGATTGGACCGAGGTACTTTTTGATCAGGTACCCAGGCTAACCTTTGTGTCTAATCGATGACACGAAGATCGATTAGTTACTCTTAGTTTGATTGGATGTGTTTATCGGTCAGCGTTGTTGGTGTCGGTAGAGGCATCGCTGTGGAGGGTGTGGCGACGTTTTTTGTTTGCGGTGGTTTAAGATAAGGCTCGGGATTAAGATTAGGGTATCGGTGGTTTAGGTTAAAGGTCAAGATTAAGATAGAATTTCCGGGATGTCTGTAGAAAAAATTGATTTTAGATTACGAAGTGGATTGGATTACAAGTTAAGAAAGTTTAGGATTATGTTTAATTTTAGGCATGTTAATGGTTGGGTTAGATAGGAAAATGTTATGGTATGGGCTTAATCTCATATGTATGGTTGGTTTCTGAACAAATCTAGTAAAATTAACATTAAACGCTTTTTCCAGGCTTGTGAGTTTGAATCGCCTAGCTACAAACATCTATACAGCCAATAACGAACATCTATACAGCCAATAACGAACATATATACAGCCAACAACGAACATCTATACAGCCAATAACGAACATCTATACAGCCAATAACGAACATATATACAGCCAACAACGAACATCTATACAGCCAACAACGAACATCTATACAGCCAACAACGAACATCTATACAGCCAGCAACGAACATCTATACAGCCAACAACGAACATCTATACAGCCAACAACGAACATCCATACAGCCAACAACGAACATCTATACAGCCAATAACGAACATCTATACAGCCAATAACGAACACTTCTACCGTTAGCTACAAACACCTTTACAGCCAACTACGAACATTTATACAACGAACATCCATACCGCTAACTACAAACATCGGATCGTGTCCAAATAAGCCTCCGCGTTGAATATTTAAACGCACGCCATAAAAACAACATAGTTCAACTGTTTCTCTGACCGGGGCGTATTAATGGATAGTGTGGTCAGCACTGTCAACAGGACACCATCGCGGGTCAAGCGTTGGGCTTTATTTTATATTCCACTTATATTCCATGAGATCAACTATTATAGACAACAGATTTTTTTTATTTATTTCTGAAATTAGTAAAGTAAAAATAAAAGGTGATTTATATTAGAAAACAATTACAATCTTTAAAAGGGAAACAACTGTAAATTAGTGATATTTGTTAAAAAGCTACAAATTACCTCCCATAAGCCCAGATGAAATATTTTAAATAGGCCTACTTGATACAATCAATCGGAGATAGTCACACAAAATCAAGAGAGGTTAAGCTAGAAAGACTTTTTTTTAATTATCAAAACCTTAAAAAAATGTTAAGCCATTTTTGTTGTTTTAGCCCAAGGTGGGCGGTTTCTGTGAGTGGTGCATAGATAGAGCTCTCATCTAACGTCAAGAGCTGCACCGTTCGAACCCTCTGACCTGGCACCGGAATTAGGCACTAGAAACTAATTTATATTTTAAAAAAAACACACACACAAAGTATTCTAACTGTGGCACGGAGTGACCTATCGGTAGAGAGCTAGACTGCTAACCCGAGAGTCTCGTGTTCAAATCCGGGTACAAGTCTATAGAAAGTCACTGAATCCACCCAGCTGTATGGTCACCTAACTTACGTTAAAGAAAACAAAGGCAGCTGGGCGTAGTGCTGACCATATTATCCCTTCATATGCTGAGGTCTCAGAAACGGATAAACTCTACTTCATCTACCCTATGTGTCTTGGGCACAAACGTGAAAAGATGATGTTACTTATAGTAAAATGCAGGGTGACATCAAATTTTTATATTTTCTGTGCCAACATCGCGTCTGATTCTAAATCCCCTAAATATTGTCGCTAATTGTTTGACTTGACTAAATCCTCTTTACTCCTTGTGGAGCATAGGGCCTCATACACAACCTTCCATTTTGTCCTGTCCCCAGATGTTCATTTTGCAGCCTTCCAAGACATCCCTGCTGTCTTCAGTTCTTCAAGAAAACTCCGCCTCCAGGTCTGTCTCTTTCTCCTGATGTCGCTTCGTTGATAAGTGTGGGGGTTATTCGCTAAGGG